AGCTCCGTCCTCATCGGCGGGGATGGAAGTGAGGTGGGGCTTACGCTTGGCCAGCATCTTGAGGAAAGTGTGGTTAAACCCTGAACACATAGAACGGGCGACGAAGTTCGTCCAAGCCTCAGTTCATACCAAGCAAGCAAAAGGGAACACAAACATGCAAAGCCAATGAACAACGCTCATTGACTGCAAACAAATGCATGTCGCACACTGCAAATAGGCGTGAGACATGCACCACGATACACATACACACAGCATCCAGCCAGCCACCTCACAGCCCCGGAGCGGGGCTGGTATGTGGCCTATACGGCCCGCGGCTAACGAAGTCCTCAGAAAACGCGCTGGCCCTCCGTGGCCCTCTGGCGGCCGTCGCACGCTGTGCACGACTCGCCACTTGAAACGCGTTGTGCTTCATCAGCTCGACGAACAGAAGCTGGCTCCAATGGTTGACGATGCTCTCTCGAAAAGCTGCGTCCTCGTCGGCGGGGATGGAGGGAGGGCGAGGCTTCCGCTTGGCGAGCATCTTGAGAAAATCCACCGGCTTCTCTCTGCATCTGCCGAAAGTCTCCGCAGCGAGAGGGACAAAGCGAAAGCCAGCTGCTTGAGCGGTTGGGCCATACTTGTCGATCTTGTCTTTCTCCACAAGCTGCGCCGTCATGCCACCTGGAAGTTGTGCGCTACGCCGTTGACTGTCCGGTGGAAGGGGATGGGAGAGTCGTTAGGCCGGCAGGGGTGGGCAATGGTGACATCGAGCAGATAGTCATGGTCGTCGATCACGCAGTAGATGTCCGTGCGCTGGCTGTTGGGGTTGTCGTCAAGCGGGGTGACACCGAGGCTGTGCAGAGGCACCTCCACATTGGAAGGAACGTCTGTCCCACCAAGGATGCGAACAAACAAGTTGCGCATATTCTTGGGTCTCGTCACCCGCTCACAGCCGGTGTGACACAGGTAGTAGTGATCGCCAAACTTGTCAACCTCCCCACTGCAGGTGCATCGCTGCGATACGGTTGCATGCGAGAGGCTAACACTGAGACACTCGGCGACGGCGTGGCGATACTGGAAGTTGTTCAGTGCCTTGTTGTTACTGGAAGGGATCGCGGACAGCCAACCAGACGAGAGAGGCCCTCGACAACTCAAGAGAGCGGCGCGGGCTTTGCCGTCGGGCGGGAGTGAGTTGAAGAGCTCATTGAAGTGGAACTTGTACAGTTGATTGGTCAGGCGCTGCTGCAGCTGGAGCTACGGCCTCGAGACCAGATCTTAGAGGGAGGGGAGGGAGAAGGAGGGGCCGACCACCTCAGAGACGGCAACGAAGGCAGGAGCCGCTGTTTGAAGCCAGGGCAGGTCCAGTAGAGCTGCGCCGACCCTGAGGCATCCATATGGTCCGTGGAACCGGCTAGAGACATCAGATGCTGTCAGTCCGACCGAGCCGAGAAAGGCCGTGCGGACAATCGTGGTTGCAGAGATAAAGCCAAACCCTCCCAGCCGAATGGGTAGCTGAACTTGTGCGGAAACCGAGTCAGGGAAGTCGCCAGGAAAGTAGAACATGCGCCTGAATGCCGTGATAATGGCGGCGTCATATCGCTCGGCGGCTGCCAGGGAGACATCAGAGTTCGAAGGAAGGAGGCGCAGCCAATAGTTCAGCCGGGGGGATACACAATAGCGGAGGAGAAGGTCAGAGCCCTGCAAACCCATCTGAGCAAAAGTCACGATTGCCTCGAGCAGCGGCTGGTGGCCGATGGTGATCTTCTTGAGGCTGCGCTGGATGAAAGAGGTAGCACCGATCGGGCAGCCGAGGACAGTGATGCCTTCAGTGGAGCACTTGACGTCGGAAGTCGCGATGTCCGCCGGGATGTCAGAGTCTTGTTGCCGGCGGGGGCTCCATCTAGTACTCTTGTCTCTTTGCAGTCTCAGTTTCTTCTCGGCCAGAAGCTGCTCAGCCCTGTCCACATACCGCATCACACATGTCTCGTCCACTTCACCATCGATGTCGTCCATGAATGCACCAATAAAGTCGTCGAGGAACTCCTCTTGCAGTTTGACGAGAGCGGGGTGAAGGCCCAGGCAGAAGAGGAAAGGGCCCGCCGCGTCGCCTTGTTGGGTGCCTGCCTGACTGAGGACGTCGCCGTGCGTCCATCCTCCATGCGATACCAAAGTTCAGCCGGGGTGGCGTAGAACTGCCAGAAAAAGTCGACAAGGGACGGCCACTTTGTGCCGAGCTCGTCGAGGATTGCCTGGCGGTCGAAGCTGTTGAAGGCGTTCTTGTTATCCAGAGTCACCAAAACACGCTTATCAGAGTCGTCGCGACGTGTCTCAGTGAAGGTCTGACAGGCCCGAAAAAGCCTTTCTCCGCCTGCCGACGTACCGACCGCGAACTGCAGCGGTGAGAAGTCTTCCTCGAAGGCAAGTTTGTTTTCCATATAAACCGCCTTCATCACCCATCTCCAAAGCACATTATCCACAGCAATCGGCCGGACCCCTCCGTTGTCTGTCATCAGAGCAAAAAGGCGGGTGACCGAAAGACTTCTAGTGCAGCTCTCCGGCATACCTCCAGCGAGCATCCGATTGACAAGGGAGGGCAGGGGACGATCTGGTCTTACGCCGTCACATCACCCTCCCGCATGCAAGCACGAAGATGCTCGTACCGCCAGCCTGTAGAGCCAGCTGCGGATCCTCGCAGCTGTGGATCCTCGTGGCGCTGTCTTGAGAACAGCCAACAAAACCCTGGGCGGGACCGTGAGAGGTGTCAGCGGTCCGTCCGGGCTGTGCTGGGGCTGCGGTTTGGTAGGCGATGGGGCAGCAAGGTGTAGGTCCTTGAGCTGCTGGAGTGTCGCAGCCGTCGCTGGAGCGACCTTACCGGCAGTCAGCCGCCTTGCCGCATGTGACAGCTCCCTCTGCTCCACAAGTCGCTCTGCCGCTCGCAGCTTGATCCTCCGGGGATGGTTCAAGTACGTCTTCCACTGGTCCATCGCCATGTGGAGCGAATACATGGCGACCCTGATGAGGAAAGTTCTTGGACTCGTCGAGCAGTGCTTGCCACTCTCCAGCCCAGAACCGCTTGAAGCGGGCACCCCACTTGCGGTAGCCCCCCCTCCCGCCGCGATTCATCGGGAAGAGGAGCATGGTCGGCAAGAAGATAGCAGTCAGGCAGCCGGCATCTGAGTCCTCCTCGCTCTTCACGTACTTCTCGGTGGTATCGACCACCATCTTGAGTGCATCCCGGACACACCCGGGCATACGGGATATAGTGCGGACGCTCAGCTTGAAGTGGTCATCCCGCTGCTCGGCGCTGAGGCCGCGAAGGTAGTCGAGCCCACGCTGCCGGAAAATTCCTCTTGAGCGAAACCAGTGGGCATCGTGGGGCGGGTCAGGTGGCGGATCTGGGGGAGGGGGAGGTCCTCCTGCGTTTGGAGGCGGGGCATTGCCGCCCGAGTCTCCATCTCCTGCCCTGCCATCTCCCGGGTTACCGGGTGGTGGGGCGGGCGGCGGCGGGGGTAGGATGCCACCCCTGCCTCGGGCGCTTCGGGCGCCCCGTGAAGCTCCGTTCGCTCCCCTACACCCCTCCCGCGAGTGCGACGCATAGGGGGTGCAGGCTGTGAGGCGCCACCCTCGCCGTTACCATGCCGTCTAGTCGTCTCTTGGGCATCCGAGGGCGGATCGACTGTGTCTCGGGCGGTCGAAGGCGGTGGCGGTGGAGGCGGGGGAGGTGGAGAGGGTGGTGGGGGCGGTGGAGGGGGCGCATCCGAAGGAAGCGGTTGAGAGCCTCTCCCAGGGCTAGAAGAGGGGTGCGGCGGGAGAAGGTTGGGCCCCGACCGCTGCCGTCGCAACTCACGAGCCCGACGGCCTCTCCCTCTAACCACACCCTGCTGGCGGAAGCATCGGCCGCCACAGAAGGTCGTACATATCATGAGAAGAAATGGGCATAAAGGTGCGTGTACAGCTCTTTGTGCTTTCTGCAGGTGGGACAGAGCAGGAGCAGGGAGTGCGAGCGAGAAGAGGGAGAGGAGAGTGAGGCACAGCTGCTAGAGAAGATGCGAAGCGCGCTGATGGCGAACGACATGGAGGCAGTGAGTCTCTGAGGGGTGTCTTGCTGAGATTGTCGAGTCGATGAGTTGACACGTGACGAGCACATAATGCACGAGCACATAATACGCGAGTACACATGGATGTCTCTGTGTGTGTGTGTAAAGGCCGCCGATCTCGGGGAGAAGATGTGCGAGGGGTGCCTGCGCAAGGTTTTGGAGTGCATGTTTGGGACGTGCAATCCTGAGAGCCGGATGCGGGCAGTGGAGTGTCTGTTTGCTTCGGATGGGGGTGCGGCCGAGGGTATTGGCGAGGTGAGAGACACGACGGGAGACACTTAGATGTGCATGATGCATTGGTTTTTTGTATTGCGTTGTGTTATGACAGGCCGAGCAGGCTGAGCGCAAGAATGACGACGAAGAGGAGCCGCCGGTAGGGAGACGCAAGCGCAGGCGCCACAGGGTGAGGCATGCACACGTTTGTAATAGGTGAGGAGTGCAGTGATAGTGGTCTACGGGCATTTTTTCATGTCGCAGTTCGTCGAAAGTGCGGCGTCTTCGGAGAAGGAAGAGGAGGAGGAGAATGAAGACGAAGGCATGGAATCAGAGGTGAGGCGGAAGGAGTTGCCATTTCGACCGATGCCTCCTGTTGCCCTTGATGTGTGTCTTTGTTGCAGGCGGGAAGCGATGTGTTCAGTGGAGTGAGTCTTAGTGGGCGCAAGCGGAGGGGGGCGAGACGGAAGGCGCGCAGGACGCAGCATACCTCGACACGGGAGCAGGGGCAGGTGTGCGGACGGCAAGAGGTCGTACCGACACGCAAGTGGTCACGGCGTTGATGCGTGTCGTGTCCATTTGCGTATGCAGCGATCGGCTAGTTTGGGAGAGCGCAGCGAGGAGGAGGTAGTGGAGTGCGAGGTGATTTGTCGGTTGAGAGGAAGCGCAACACGTGTCGTTGGGAGAAAGGACACACGCGTGGTTTGCATGAGGATGGATGTGGTGTAGAATGAGGTACGGCGCGAGATGGGCATCGAGTTCGAGGATGACGACGAAGGCAGCAGTGAGAAGGCGCGAGAGGAGAATGCCATGTTCAAGTGCGACCGGGTGATTCAGCGCACCAAGGAACGCTATGAGCGTAGGCAGGTATGGAAGGATGAGAGAGCATGGTACATGGCATGGCTATCTCGCATGCATCCATGTTGCTGTCGCAGATCATCTTCGCGCCACCGCCAGAGATCAGCACCAACTACGCGGCTGCCGAGTGTGGGTCCTGTCTGGCGGGCGAGTTGAGCCAGCCGGCGCACTCGGATGGTCGATGTCCTGTTAAGAACTATGAGAGCCAGCTCAACTTCGAGCCCCAGCTGGACCGGCCATCCAAGAAGAAGGACTCCGACGGCCTTCGGGCTCGGCGAGCTCTCATCCAGGTCCGTCTGTGAGCGTGAAAGGATCGCCAAATGTGGAGATTGGCCATCTGTGAGTGTGGTGTGGTGTTGCAGAGCCCCAGCGTGCGTTTCTGGCAGCTCGACATGCTCAAGTGTGTCAAGCTCAATCCGTTGGTGCAAGCCGCGGGCTTGACCTGCAGCATGTCTGGAACTACCATCATCGTCAAGCAGGGGCTCAAGAAGGTGGTCACGAAGATCGACCTCACTGCGCTGCTCAACTTTCTTCGCCAGCGCAAGTTCTTGCGCAAGAAGATAGGCGAATCAAAGCCTTAGTCGACGATGAGGTCATGTAGCTGCATGGGTATGTGTGTTGTTGCAGGTCTTCGGGTCGATCGACACGGTTGAGCTGCTGCGTTTGCATCCGCCGCGATGCTTCAAGTGCGGTTGCTGGGTGAAAGGCTTCCCTCCGAGGGTGAGTGACTGGATCAAAGCAGGGACATGTCTATCTCTCACTTACTCGATATCCATGTCTCTCTCGATGTGTGTTTAGTTCGATCGGAGCGTCTCTGGTCATGCTGGCTACGCTGGGATTCAGTGTGGCAACATGAGCTCTCAGGACGGCGGCATCTGCGAAAACCGCCGCGAGAAGCCGGAGAGCAACCTCACCGCCATCTGGACGGACGCCTATGTCCTGGGCGTGTTGGCGTTCCACGGCATCGTTCCTTTCTAGGTGGGTGCCATGGTTCCTGTCTCTGCCCGCGATTCATCGTGTGCTTGCGGTTGTGGTTGTGGTTCGTCAGGAACGGTGAGGTGTTGGTGGTTTTTCGTTTATGGATTGGGTAAAGGGAGACCCCTTCATGAATTGTAGTGTAGAATGGCTGGCTATTTCTCTCTGTTGGTGGTCCGTGCATGCATGCATGTGTCTGTGCTGTAGCCGACTTGTGTGTCCATCACTCATCTACCTGTGGCAAGCTGTTTGGCTGCGCCGTCGGTCATACACACTCCAAGTCGACGCGTGCAGGCGCAGGTGTGCGCACAAAGGCATTCATCATATACACCCACTCCAAGTCGACGCGTATATGCGCAGGCATGCGCAGGTGTGCGCACAAAGACATTCATCATATACACACACTCCAAGTCCAAACGTGCATGCGCACGTGTGCGCACAGAGACAAGTCCAAACGTGCATGCGCAGGTGTGTGCACAGAGACATTCATCATATACACCCACTCCAAAGAGACATTCATCATATATACACACTCCAAGCCGACGCGTACATGCGCAGGCATGCGCAGGTGTGCGCACACAGACATTCATCATATATACACACTCCAAGTCCAAACGTCCATGCGCAGGTGTGCGCACAAAGACATTCATCATATCCACACGCTCCAAGTCCAAACGTGCATACGCAGGGGTGCGCACAGAGACATTCATCATATATACACACTCCAAGTCCAAACGTGCATGAACAGAAATGCGCAGGTGTGCGCACAAAGGCACTCATCATATACGCGCACAAAGACATTCATCATATACGCACACTCCAAGTCGACGCGTGCAGGCGCAGATGTACGCACAGAGACATTCATCATGTGCGCACACTGACATTCATCATATACACGCACTCCAAGTCCACACGTGCATGCGCAGGGGTGCGCACACTGACATTCATCATATACACACACTCCAAGTCCACACGTGCATGCGCAGGTGTGCGCAGGTGTGCGCATACAGACATTCATCATATACACACACTCCAAGTCCACACGTGCATGCGCAGGGGTGCGCACACTGACATTCATCATATACACGCACTCCAAGTCCACACGTGCATGCGCAGGTGTGCGCACGCAGACATTGGTCATATACACATACTCCAAGTCGACACGTGCATGCGCAGGTGTGCGCACACAGACATTCATCATATACACACTCCAAATCGACACGTGCATGCCCAGGGGTGCGCACGCAGACATTGGTCATATACACACACTCCAAGTCGACACGTGCATGCGCAGCTGTGCGCACGCAGACATTGGTCATATACACACACTCGAAGTCGACACGTGCATGCGCAGGGGTGCGCACACTGACATTCATCATATACACACACTCCAAGTGCACACGTGCATGCGCAGGTCGCACATAGACATTCCGGATACACGCATTCCAAGTCCACACGTGCATGCGCACGTGTGCGCACACAGACATTGGTCATATACACACACTCCAAGTCGACACGTGCATGCGCAGGTGTGCACATACAGACATTCATGATATACACGCACTCCAAGTCGACACGTGCATGCGCAGGTGTGCGCACGCAGACATTCATCCGACACGCACACTTGAAGTCGACACGCACATAGACACATTCATCATATCCATACACTCCAAGTCCAAATGTGCTATGCGCACATAGAGACATTCATTATATCCACACATTCCAAGTCCAAACGTGCATGCGCAAGTGTGCGCACAGAGACACATTTATAGTTGTGCGCACATAGACACAGTCATCATATTCACACACTCCAGGTCGACGCGTGCATACGCAGGTCTGCGCATATAGACACATTCATCATATTCATACACTCCAGGTCGACGCATGCTATGCGCACAGAGACATTCATCATATACACACACTCCAAGTCCAAAAGTGCTATACGCACACAGACATTCATCAGATACACACTCTCCAAGTCGACGCGTGCCTGCGCATGTGTGCGCACAGACATTGAATTGACGCGTGCATATGCAGGTATGCGAACAGAGACATTGGTCATATACACGCCCTCCAAGTCCACACGTGCATGCGCAGGTGTGCGCACAGAGACATTCATCCGACACGCACACTTGAAGTCGACACGTTCATGCGCAGGTGTGCGCACATAGACATTCATCATAAACGCACACTTGAAGTCGACACGTGGATGCACAGGGGTGCGCACACAGACATTCATGATATACGCGCACTCCAAGTCGACACGTGCATGCGCAGGTGTGCGCACACAGACATTCATCAATGCATGCACTCCAAGTCGCAGGTGTGCGCAGACAGACGTTCATCATATGCATACACTCCAAGTCGACACGTGCATGCGCAGGTGTGCGCACAGAGACATTCATCATATACCTACACTTGAAGTCGACACGTGCATGCGCAGGTGTGCGCACACAGAGATATTCATCATAAACGCATACTTGAAGTCCAAACGTTCATGCGCAGGTGTGCACATTCCACGTCCAAACGTGCATGCGCAGGTGTGTGTGCAGAGACATTCATCACATACACACTACAAGTCCAAACGTGCATGCGCAGGTGTGCACATACAGACATTCAAACGTGCATGCGGAGATGTGCATACTGTGAAACGTGCATGCGGAGGTGTGCGCACACAGACATTCATCACATAAACACACTACAAGTCCAAACGTGCATACGCAGGTGTGCACACACAGACATTCAAACGTTCATGCGGAGGTGTGCACACACAGACATTCAAACGTGCACGCGGAGGTGTGCGCATATAGACATTCATCACATACACACACTACAAGTCCAAACGTGCATGCGCAGTCGTGCACACATAAACATTCAAACGTGCATGCGCAGGTGTGCGCACAGAGACATTCACCATATACACACACTCCACGTCCAGACGGGCCTGTGTGACATACGTTAACTCATAGCGCAACGGCAGGCAGAGTCTGTCGGTCTCTCATGAAATGAACTGCGTCAACATCGACCAACCCTCAATCATCCGACAAACATGCCAGCACCATCCTCAGCGCCCGCCTGGCGTATCTTCCAGCGGCGCCGCCAAAAGGGCTGGAGGCCCTGCGAGCTCAGAAAGAGATGGTGCCACGTCCAGACGTGCATGCGCAGGTGTGCACACTCCACGTCCAAACGTGTATGCGCAGAGCTGCGCACACAGACATTCATGATATACACCTACTCCAAGTCGACACGTGCATGCGCAGGGGTGCACACACAGACATTCAAACGTGCATGCGCAGGTGTGCGCACACAGACATTCATCATATACACACACTCCACATCCAAACGTGCATACGCAGGTGTGCACATTCCACGTCCAAACGTGCATGCGCAGGTGTGCACACACAGACATTCAAACGTGCATGCGCACACAGACATCCATCATATACACACACTCCACATCCAAACGTGCATACGCAAGTGTGCACACTCCACGTCCAAACGTGTATACGCAGGTGTCCACGCATAGACATTCAAACGTGCATGCGCAGGTGTGTGCGTAGAGACATTCATCACATACACACTACAAGTCCAAACGTGCACACGCAGGTGTGCACACACAGACATTCAAACGTTCATGCGGAGGTGTGGGCACACAGACATTGAAACATGTATGCGGAGGTGCACGCATACGACATTCATCATATACACACACTCCACGTCCAAACGTGCATGCGCAGGTGTGTGCGCAGAGACATTCATCACAGAGACATTCATCACATACACACTACAAGTCCAAACGTGCATGCGCAGGTGTGCACACACAGACATTCAAACGTGCATGCGCAGCTGTGTGCGCAGAGACATTCATCACATACACACTACAAGTCCAAACGTGCATGCGCAGGTGTGTGCGCACAGACATTCAAACGTGCATGCGGAGGTGTGCGCACAGAGACATTCATATACATACACATGCATATACATTGTTTAAATGCGTATCTTCATTTGATGCCCCTCCCCTCTCCCTTCCTACCTATTTACACATCCATTCATACACAAATCTGTACACATACACAGGCAGACAGAGCCAAATATACCAATACGTACACACAAAGAGTACCAACCTGTATGTACGACCATATATTGACTTTCGTGACCCACTTGGCCCTACAGACACCTATAATCCCTCACTTAACACCAACAGCCTCATCAACCAACTCGAATGCTCTACGGGGGGAAACATTATAAGAACCGCACAGTGATGCAATACAGCCAGTCATCTGAGGAGGAGAAGGACAAATGGTGGAGGTCAATGAACGCAGGAGAGAGCGAAAGAGGATCCTAACCAGTTGCCCAACGCGAGGGGCTTTAATGACGTCCACATTTTTCAAACATGTGAAGCAACAGTAGGCCCATCGACTACAAGTGTATGCATTGCTTACATCTATCCATTGTGTACCAGACTAGATTGCTATGTTAAGTGCGACATGGCTCCATTTGTAAGATATAATGACAACATTTCCCTTTCATCCTCATCTGACAAGACGACTCATCGCATCCTCATGCTGATGACATTATCGTTTACTGCATCAATTAGCTCTTCGATGGTGGGCAAACCATCTCTGCACATTGACTATTCGCTGAGACATGGACGTGCTAAGATGAGACCTATGGATTCTCCATGTGGGTGTGTAATCTCATCCAGGTGCAACGAG